TGCTTAAAAATCAGGAGCGATTAGGTCCAGAGGCACTGCAAAGGTGCATTTTTTTTCCGGAAAGGCGACGTACAAGGAAAGTTGAGAACCGCCGCAGTTGTTTTGCGTCTCGCTTCTTTTTGCCTGTCCCTTTTGGTGACGTTGACAACATCATGAGTTGCTGCAAGGGGATTTCAAGAGAAGAACAACTCAACATGAAGGACAGTACATGGAGGAGGAGGAAGAAGAAGAAGAAGCGAAGACACAAAGCTCGGCCGGCGCGCATCGTCACACAGGGAAAGAGAAGAGAGAGAAGAGAGCTCGCGCGGTGAAGATGAAGAAGGTGGATGGAGGGAAAAATCTCTTTTGTTACTAACTCTGGTACCTCTTTTCTCTCTTGTATATGCGCGCTCTCTTCTCTCTCTCTCCCTGCTTTTGTCTGTGAGAACATTTTTTATCCCTCTCACATAATCAATCTCTCTTTACCTCGCGTAACAAAAAATAAAACTTTTTATTTCCCGAGATGGCTCGCCCGCCCGACGTTTTCCTTTACCTCTCCGTGTAAAACTGAAAGAGAGTCGCCAATCTCTCCTCCACCCACCGGAGAGAAAGGGATGCAACCCCATCCAGCAGCAGGAAGAGATCGGAACAAAAACTTCCTGAGAAGCACTTTTAGCAAACGAGCGACTTTTTTCTCTTCTTTTCCGCCACCCACTCTGCTCCTTTCTTTCGTTTTTTCCCAACTCCCCTCACTCGCACCAACTTTATATTTTTCGCCTCTTTCACCACTTACACGCCATGCAGAAAAAGGTAATTTCCAAGCAGATTATTTGTAACATGGGCGATGCCAAAAAAGAGAAGAAGAGTCGCTCCATCGGTCCGACCAACCGTCCGTCGCCGCAATCCTCCTGAGCCTTTTGTTACAAAGGAGCCCTCCTATTTACCTGCTCTCAACAATTGATGCTGAAAATTCTTTCCTGTGCGCACGTTGACCACTATTTTCTTGAGTACAATAAAAGTGAAAAAAGTCCTCTGTCGCTGCTAAAGAATGTCGACAGGTAAAGATCGGCACAAGAAAAATAATACTGCGCGCTGTTACCTCCTATTTTTCCTCATAAATTTTGTTCTTATATATATATTTTTTTTACCAGAAAAATGAGAGATGTGATATTCTTTTCGAAATTCTGAACATAAGCAATTCATAACTGAATTTACGGCATACAAAAAATAATAATTAATATTTGAGTCTGTGCTTTTCAATAAATTCAAGTAATTGCAATAAAATCATATGAATATTGATAAAAATTGTAATTTCTATTAATAAGTGTGAATTATAAAAATTGCATGTAGAGTATTACACACCGAGTTGACGTCTCGAAGATTAATTATTTTTTTTTTAATTTATCAAGACCAATCAAGACCAAAACTAAACGATCATTCAATATTTAAAATAACGACTAATTGAAAATTTGTGTTACTTAAATTATTTGTATATAATTATAAATGGTTTTAAGTTTTAAAATAATATAATCGCAGTATAATAATAAAATAATTTATATATATTTCAACTAATTTTTAGTTTGAAAAGTTGTATTACAAGAACTTAAATTAACATGAAAATAACATTTAATATGTATAAACTGCCTTTTTGATCTCTTTCTTTTGCCAAAGTGATAAGCGATAGGCGACTTAACTTTTTATATATGTCAAAATAAAGGCTACCGCGGGGACGCATCGAAATGGTGCATGTTATATTGAACATGCTGCAAGTGTTGGCACACCAACGGCAGCAGGCGTGACATTTGAACCACCGATTTGTCAATATCTATTCACTTAACATAATAATGCGACTTGACTGATTTATTGGTAATCTTGAAGAATTCGCTGCCAAAAAGGCAATCTCCGCGCGACCTTCCGAACGCGAAACAAGCAGCCAAGAATTTTTCCAACACCAACATCTCTCTCTCTCTCCAATTTTATAAAAGCCTTTCTAAAAGATCCTTTACGTATTTAATTTGAAGGTTGAATTTTGTTGCTTTATGGCCCTTATTTCTGGCATATAATTAACATCAAATTAAAATCTAATAAAAACATAGCACCGCCGTGTCTGTGCCTGGCACCTAATTAACATCGGAGAGCAGAGATCACGTCCAATTTTGTTTGCGGCTGCGAGGTTTGCGGTGGCTGCTGCTTGGGATTAACTATATAAAGGTATTTTCTGTTTTATTGGCCTTTATCGCATTATTAAGCTGTTTAACGTGTGCATTAAAATTTTGATTGAGGGCTATTTTATTGCCGTCGTTGGAGAGCTAATAATTCTACTATTTGAGCAGAGACCTTGCCAAGGACGATAATTCGCTGTAAAAGGTCAAAATTAATATTTTGGCAAAATTCATCTCAATATATGAAATCAATGTTTAATTTAAATTGTTTCAATTAAGTAAATTTAATCATCTGTCCTGACTGCTGAGTTCATTTGAACAAATAAAAGACGAAATTTAAATTATGTTTTTTCAATTACGGTTTTGTTTTCGGATCAACTGAAAATTGTCACAATGACGCGCATTTAATGAAAAATTGTTCCAGTAATCATTCGCCCAAAAGAACTAATGAGAAAACATTATAATTTTCAGCTCACTCATATAGTTTACGATTATCAATTAATGCATTACGTACTGCACAAGAAAGCGCCAGGAATGAAAGCTTAAATTTTTAAATTAATTAAAATGAATTTGTTAATTAGATTATCCTTAATCGGACTAAAATATTTAATTAAAAACGTCGGTATCCGTTGTGGATTTTCTATTTTAACCTCCCCAATAAAAGCAAAAATCAAAGTAAATCTAAAAAATCCAACACATATTATTTAGTTGCAAATTGTTATTTATTTAATATTATTCAATTTTTATTTTCTAACGTCTAAATGAAATGAGATAACATCTTGACATGTATTGATTTATTATTACTTATTGCTCTCCTCAACTTAGGCATTATTAGCATATTATTTTTGCTTATTATAACAATTATTTTCCCATAATTCTCAACAACTTCCTCCTTCCCCCTTATTTTTTTAACTTTGTCAGTGTTTCCTGAAAAAGATGAGGAAGACCAAGGAAGTGTTATATATCTTTAAAGAGGAAAAACGGTTTCAGGAAAATAAGAAACAAACAGAGGAGTCCCAACTAATATTTTTTTACATGTGGCGGGTTGAAGGTAGGTAGTTTGCTGCCGTGCATTTCCGAGAGGAGTATGGAACAAAAAAGCACACTTTTGTTTATTTTACTTTTCTCCCGTGGATTTATGGCCGAATGAAGTGAAGTGGCTTCCTAGAAATGCACAATGTGCGCGCCGCCACTGCGCCCTGAATATGAATGAATGAATAATATACACGTTGTTTACCTGTGTGTGGTTTTGTCTCTCTCTCTCTTTTTCTCGAGAAATTGTCATGCACGCGTCGGCTAAATTATTCAAAAGTGTAACGAATTTTCCAGGAGCAAAGGTGCATGTGGCGGAGTTGGCGTATTTAATATAAAAAATTGCCACGCATTTCAGAGAGGCAAAGGAAAGAGACGTGCCTCTCTTTGAGTTGGTCCGCGTCTTTTTGAAAATAGCTTGCTTCTGTGTGTTTAGACTGAAGGCGGACCGACGCACACACAGAGAGAAGAGCACGGCCGAGCGAGTAAAGGAAAAATATATAACTTTCGGAGCAGAAAACTTGAATTTTCCGCAGTTTGGTTACTTTATTCTTCCGCCAGCACTTTTTTTGTGTGTGTAGCAAATTCAAAAGCTCATCCAACCTTTATACAACACACACACCTGAGAGAACAAAAAATAAGAAAGGGAAAATCTGTTAGGCAAAAAGGAAAGGAAAATGAAAAGCGAGAACAAAACGGGAGCCTTCAGCGCCAACGCCGGCTCCTTTTTTCACAAATACAGCCGCGCGCACACACTCTCAGAAAACTTCCCTTTCTTTCTTTCAAAGAGTGTAAGCGAGTCCCTCTCTCGATGTTAATATTTTAAAAGAGAGGAAAGAGTGGAACGAGTGTGTGTTACGGTTAATGTTACATAATTTTAATTCGAAAGTGAAGGTTATCTAACGAGAAATGCGCGCGCGACTAGAGTTTAATAAATATATATCCCTTCCCCAACGGTATGGAGGTTAGTAGCCGCAGTGCACCTCTGCGCTAGTTGTTGCTCTCCAAGCGTCCTAATTTTCTCCATCTATAGCCAAGTTAGTTCATAACTTTCGCTTTCATTTTGACAATCAAGCAGGCCAATGTTGCCAAATGCCCCTTTCACTTTCAGTTGGTCGGACACTGGAGGTGTTGATGATGACAGCGCAGGCGCCACGACTCCTACCTGAGCACAACCAGCGCATACCTCAGGGTAGACCCTGAGAAAGCTACCTACTTGCGACCTCTACCGCCGCACTTTGGAGAACACCTGGTGCTCACTAAGCTACTTAATATAAATCTAAAATTTCATTATTCTGTTTCCAAACTTAAGAACAATCAAATTAAAAATATTTTTGGAAGTTTTCTTGTAAAGAATAAAAACTTTTAAAAAGAATTAAAATTCAATTAAAAAAATTGCCATTCACTAAATATTACAATTTCTATTCATTTTACAGAGAAAATGTCACTTCAGTTCCCAAACTATGCAACCTGCCAGTTCATAATGTCCCACAGGTTGCATACTTTAATTTTGCAGGGTTAAAATTTTTTCTTATCAATTTCTTTATCTTTCAAACTTAAGCGGTCGGTCTAATTTCAAACATCCAAAACTACAAGATTTCGTAATTTTCGTTGATTTTTCAAATTTAGTTTACAAATTTTTGGCATTAATGGCATTTTCTTTAATTCCCTTTATTAATTTTTTTTTTTGACCACTCAACAAACATTCCAATATTTATAATTCCTAAAAATTCCCCTCCACCCTGCCTCTATCAGTGCATCATTAAAAAACAAAAAGGTTAAATTAAAATTTTGGGAAAAATTTTCATTTCAAACATAATCTTCATTTTTCTTTTCTTGTTTAATTAATAAGACCTTAACATCTTACACTTCATTAATTTTCTACTAATGGAAGACCTCACTTGAAATAATATAATAATAAATAATGCCAGTACAATAAAACCATTAATTACCACGCGCCTGTGGAATGACTTGGTAGACCTTGAGTGAGAAGGTGTTGCGCATGCATGACTGGCTGCAGGTTGGGTGTTTGCAGAGGGAGCATCATTCCGCCCATCATCATTGCAGGCTGGTTCAAAACAGCGGCCATCGACTGCAGGTTTTGCGTTTCAAGGTTGTTGGCCTCGGTGGAAGACATTCTTTGCTGGCCGTTCAGGTTGCCGGAAATTTCTTCGTTAACACAAAACAGGCTGGTCGAAGCGGAATTGTCTTCGATGACACTTTGGCTGATCACTTTTGAGTGGATTCGTCTTTTGTGGGTCGCCCTGTTTCCAGCGTTGGTGAAAGTTTTCGGACAGAACGGACACTTGTAGGGGCGTTCGCCAGTGTGCTGATACAGATGGAGCTAAAATCAAAATGAAAAATTAATATAAATTGGATTTATTTATTATTTGATCCAAGCAAAATTTCATAAATGTAAAAAAAAATTAATTATCAATTTTTTAGCTTTTTTTAATTGAAGATAATTTATTTTCATTCAATTTTAGAATTATAAACAACCTTTAATTGTTTGCTGCGTTTGAAAGTTTTCTGGCACAGATTGCACTTGTGGGGCCTGTCATCGCTGTGTACCAAAAGATGAGACCGCAAAGATCCTCGGGTTTGGTATTGCTTCCCACACACCTGACACTCATGAACTACAGCTTTGTGGTACTCCATGTGTCTGACAAGTCTCATCCTGGTTTTAAAGCTGCAACCAGTAAAAAAATTAATTGTTTTTAATCAAATGAACTAAAAATATTTTTACCGTTTGCCACAAACTTCACATTGGACGTTGCAGGACTCTTTGTGCGTTTCAAGGTGGCCTTTCAAATTCCCAACAGTGGACATTGTTTTGCCGCAAATGTGACAGACAAAGTGTCTTTGGTCGCCATGGACAGTCTTCTTGTGGGTGTAAAGACAATTAGGGTGGCTGAAACTATTTTCCATCCAATTAATTTACAAATTTTTCTATCTTAGAAACATTATATTAAAAATTTAATGAAAATTAGATAACATCAAATTTAAAATATATTTGTTAATAATCATAGCATCAAATCTTCTTTTTCCACACCTCTTAATACAGTGGGAAAAAATTCAATTGTAATAATTGCAATTAACGTTTAGTTTTATTTAAAAAATATTGTCTTTAAAGTTTTAATTCGCAATAAATTTTCTTACGTGTTATTGCAAATATCACATGAGACTCGAGCTCTGGGAGGCAAGTGCTTCATTGTTTTGTGGTTGGTCAGGCCCGACTTGGTGATGTACGATCTTTGGCATTCATCACACTTGAAAGGCTTGTCACTTTCAGGGCCGTGAGTGTACATGTGAGACCGAAGCATGAATTTAAAGTGAAAACCTCTCTCACACGTTTCACACCTGAGGAAATTTAAAATAAGAAATCGATTGAATTTCATAAATTATTTTTTACTTATAACGATGAACTCCTAGGTGCTGATTTCTGTGCCTGATCAAGTGGCTGCGCCTATTAAAGGACTTGCCACAATGGCAAAATATTGTAGGACGGCAGTCATGCGTTTTCTTGCAGTGCGAAGATAATGAGGCGAATGTGGTGCATTTGTATTCGCACTCGGAACAAGTGAGTTTGTAAAATTCGGAGAGTTCCTTCTCCTGCTCTTTAATATCGGACCGAATTCTTGTTGAAGGGGAATCAGTCACATCGGAGTCCTCTTCCTCCTCTTCACTTGTGGTGCTGACCTGGTCATCCTGCTCCAAATCCTCCTCCGGCTCTGAATCTTTGGCCTCTTCTTTTATTTTTATCAGACCATCCGGCTCGTCGAAGTCGTCTGATGACAAATCAATGGGAAGGTCACTCAGAAGTCCAAGAGAAGAGACGATGTCATCCGGAATGTGCTTTTCCACTGAACTTGAGTGGTTTGCTTCGAGATAATTGTCTAACGGAGAGGCGTGCTGGATGAATATTATTTTAATTATTATTCTCTTACATTTCAGTTAAAAAAGAATACCTCATCCTGGTAATGAGCTTCAATTTTTGGTTCGGTTAAATTTTCCATGCAAAACTTTTGCTCCTCCAATTTATCCTGAACTGTCTTGACATTCTGGGCGAAGAGATGAAATTTCACTAGGTGATCACAGCACTTTTTGCAAATTGATTTTGACAGCAGGTCACTTTCCGACACCTGCAAAAATTCCATATTAAAGTAATTAAATTAATAAAGTTCAGGTCACTTTTTATATAAAATAACCTACCACAATCTTAAGGTAATTTTTTATTAGGGCTGGTAAGTTTTTCTTGATTCCCTTCTCACTGAAAATCTCTGTGGCCCCATTGCTTCCTTCGTGGGAACACAACCTGCAAGACTCGAAAGCCTCAAGTCCTTGTATATCTAAAAAGGACTTGGCTCCCGAAGGTCCGGCCCGTGATTCAGACTGTTGCTTTCGCCTCATGGTGAATTACAATCCTCTGCTATGAAATCAAAACACAACAAATATCAATAACAAATAATAAAAAAACTCAAATTTCGAGAATAAAAGCCCAAAATTTAAAAGAATTAAACCTACGGGATCGTGTGCGAGGCAACTCTTGACGTATGCGTAGATTCCAGAAGTAAAATTAATTAGTTTTTGGCTATAATTTGCGAAAAATAAGCGGCGGCAACTGCGTTTTGTGTCCCATCTCATTGTCAAATGAACGGCGATGTTACACAGCTGCTCGGAATAGCCAATCAGAAGCGAGGAATCGGTCCTGGACTAACTGGTGATGGGAGATGGGATAATAATTGGGATATTATTGCTCCTGTTTCAAATTGACTTTCTTGATATTAAATTTTTAGTTAAGCCTTTATTAAAACAGAAAGATAAGAGAAATATAAAGAAGAAGAAGAAGAAACGGGAATTTCACAAAATTTCACCAAAGAAATGTTTTCTTTCATAAATTAAATTTGTCTCGCAAAGACTCGAAACATTAAGTAAAATTTTGAAACAAATTAATTAATAAGATTGGACAGCCGACAATCAGAAGCAAAAAGACCAGTATACAGGGTAAAGAGATATATGCTTTTATTTAGCTTTAAAATCTTTTCTTTTATGCTACATATATATATTATTTTAATCAACTGCATATGTTAATTTGAAATATTTGCGGATTAAATAATGAAACCAAAAATTCACTTAAGTTTATCACAGAAATAATTTTTATTTCTTACATTTATTAACAATCTCTCAAGATTTTTATCATCATTGTCAAAATATGCACATAAATCAGTAAAATTATTAACAGCACTAATCGTGTATTAAGTAATGAATGAAGAAGTATGGGGCAACAAAATCCTCGGAAACACAAATATGATTTTGGCAGAATGGTTCTTCTAAACAATATTTCAGCACTATTATTCGTCATCTAAAAATTGCACTGTGTCCATTAAGCTCTCACACTTTAGATTTGCCTCCAGTTATTTCGAGTTCGCATAAATTAATCAGAAGTCGGGTCGAAGAAGAGTGCGGTGACGGCAAACAATAGGAACACAATTCCTCCAATTATCGTGACTGGAAAATAAATACATTTCGTTATTAGAACTTTAAAAGAACTCACTAAATTTTAAAATTGGTACCAGTTCGAACTGAGATCTTCTGAGCGATGAATCTGCCGCCGATGACGGCCAGACCTGTACACAGAGCATGTCCCAGGATGCCACCAAGTGTGACACCAACTACATCCTGAAAATGTGGAAAATGCCCAAATTGTACATTTTTTAACTGAAAGATGAGAGACCAGATGGCGATTAAGCAAGGTGAGGGTTAGCAAAAGCAACAGCAAGACCAGGTTAAAGTGAATAAAGCAGGTGGTGATTATTGCAAATGATTATTGAACTGACCTCTCTCGCTGCAAGAATAATTGTGGCCAATTGCGACCTGTCACCCCACTCGGCCAAAAAGGTCAAAGTGAAGGACTGAATCAAAACTCTTGACACAGCAGATACGACGGACGTCGACTTCCGTCTTGTCCCACCGACTTCAACGTCAGCTCCAGCAGACGATTCTCTTTCGTACTAAAAATAATAATAGAAAACAAAAATTAAACAAACTTGTTAGCTTGAAAATAAAACTGTACAACAATTTGATGAAACAACAGGTTTAGAATTTAAATCATTTAAAAAATACTCAATATTTATTTTAATTTGGATGAAACTGTGGAAAACTGGAAAAAAAATCAATTAAAAAAAGATTCTTTACTTCGTCATCTCTTTTTCTCAGGTCAAGCTGCACCTCTTCAAACTCTTCTTGACCTTCGTTAGGAGACATGCTGTAGCCTTCCTTGAGCATTTTAATTCCAAATATCGCAAAGAGGGCCGTTGAAATGTAATATGTGTAGATTCGTGGAATGATCGTAACAGCCCATCCAAAAACAGCTGCAATTCACAAATAACACAATATTTATTAGTTAAATATTCAAATAATTGAAAATATCTGAAACCACCCCACAAAAACTACTTTTTTTAATAAGATCAATTCAAATTTCCCAATGTTTTGCCATAAAACGTTATATTTGAAACTATTAAACTGAATATTAATTTAATTACTATCATCTCTTCTTTTGAGTGTTTTAATATAATGAAAAATGAAAGAACAAACAGCACTTCTTTGAATTTTCTCTACCACTTATTTTAATGCGATAATTCAATTTAATTATTAATAAGAATAGAAAAATAATAATAAACAAATATAAGAATGAACTATACATTTATATTTGAATGCATGTTTAAAAATGCAACCCGAAACTTGGGAATTTGCCTACATTAAAGTTGCCGTTTTCATTTACCATATTATTAATAATGGTTCAATTAATTATTTTCATTCCGTTATCTTAATCCACTATGTTAACTACTGTCACCTGATAATACTGTCATGAGCGCCAAGGCGCCAATAGCTCCTGCAAACACAGTGATCCTCGGGTGTCGCATGGCCATAATGGCCGCGATGAAGAAGGTTTTGTCACCCAGCTCGGAGACAATGATGACCGACAAAGATGCCACAAAGGCATGGATGAATCCCACGTCACCAAGCAACGGCGTTTCTGTGGTTTTCGCATTTTCGAAGAAATTTCCTTGCTGAAAAAAAAATGTAATAATTATCCAAGTCAAAAGATCAAATTTCTTATTTTACCACAGAGGGAACGTCAGGTTCTATCGACTCCACGTCGACAGGCTCTTTTTCAGCTCCGATCAATTTGCAGCCAAGCAGCAAAACTGCCGAAAGAGCAAACACCAGTCTCGGAGCCATCATTTTTTTACAAATTTGAGGTTCTTCAAATCGGACGAAATTCGGTTCTCCTCCTCCTTTTACATGACGCACGGCGTAACCTGAAATGGTGATGTAGACATTTAAATGCTGCAAATGCGTTTCCGTGAATGTAGAGGTTCACAGTATAAAAATATAAATGGTGTGTTATCAAAGCTTTTGCTGAGACGTGCAGCGATAAGAAAACAACACGCAACCCGTCGTGCAGACTTTTGCCCTTGACCGCACTTTCAGAAATGAATTAAATTTTAATGGATTTTTAAAATCACGCTTTTAATGTTATTGTGTTAATTTATCTTATTTGGAGACCAAATAAAATATAAGTTTGTCAAACTTACAAAAGGAAAACAATCCTCATCAAACGTGGTCGACCTTCGGGGGCGGCAGAGCCAAAGATTTCACTCGGCTCCGGACGTCAGCAAACCGCCAAAACCGAGGATAAATTGGAAATTTGTGAAGGGACGGCGATTTATCTGTGAGGGGACATTGGTGACTGCTTTAAAAACAAAGTCCGATGACGAATTAACACATTTAAATTAGCTGAAAGTGTCAGAGTGGCACTTTCAGCTGGAGTCGTCCCTCTTTTTACCGGAATGACATTTCATTTGCAGAATGCCAACATAATTAAAGAAAGAGTTTCCTAAAATTATTGTATCGCGAAATATTATCTTGAATGCACTTTTCCTTTCCAAAAGGAACAAAAAATTCTTAGCCACAAACAAAAAAAATTATAATATAAAAGAATTAGGTGAGTTTTCCTTGCTTATTCAAAATATAAAATTGACAGACCGTCAATTTAGGTTTGCCAGCCTGCGATCGTTCAAGAATGAAATGCGCGACTTTTTTATACAGCGGCCCCCACGGTAGCACACACGCGGAATTGTATAATTAATTTAAATGCTATTTTTAGTCCATACGCCTCTGATATTATTAAAATAAAACTGGACCAGCCGAGGGCGTTCAAGCAAAAAACTTTATTCAAAATAACACGTCGTCTTTTGCAGCTCGTGTGAGTGTGTTGGCCACTAATACACCTATAGACCACAAAAATACTCAAAGAACTAAGAATCCCAGTAGGAATTAATTTCATCCCTGAAGAAAAAATAAATGACTGACTGAGAAAATAAAATAACAATTTCGAGAAAGTTACAAAATTATAAAAATGAAATGGTTTCTTTTTTTTAAATTAAAAGCATTGAATTGCTTTTTGCTCTTTTTTATGTTTAGAAGTTTTTATTTTCTGTACATCTAGTGACATTACACATGATCATACAGCAGTCTTCGTCAGGTAATACTTTCCATTTTGACTTTATACCGGTTTTCTCCATTTTTAAATCGGGCTCTACAAGAATATCAGATACACCAAAATAATTCTCGGATCTTGTGCGTTCCTAATTATTTTTCCACGGCGATTATCAACTTATATAATATTGTAGAATTCCAAATATCTGCTCGGATAGACTTTTCACGATCTAGTTTGAGATGGACAAAACATTTCATGTACATAGATTATTTTTGAGTCAACACAGACTACTCAACACACAGTCGAATGTCCTATAGAGATCAGATAAGTGTTGACAGGAAGCATACACGCTAAGTCTAACAGTAATTAACACACAGAGTCTAATAAATATTTTGCCTGCACATCACATGTCAATGGGTTACACAATGAGCGTATATAATATATTATTATTATTTTTAATTATCTTGCCACATACATAGTATTATGTCTGCTACGAGGGGTGGTTAAATCCATTATTTTTGCACATCTCGGACACACATAACACAAAGTTGCCTATTCGCAATTTTGATTCAATGCATGCAGAAAAAATGAGCACTTTTCTCTGCAGAGAGAGGGAACATTATTGTATCCTATGTAGCTACAACAATTATTACATGTTACCTTTTTTTAATTCATCTACAGTGAGCAACTACGACAGTACTGACTGGGGTCTTGTTTATTATTAATTTTATACTTTTTCGCATATCTCTCTCGTAATATAGCAGTACTTTTTCTTTATAGATGTCTAGACGGAAATTGTGTAGAGCTTGGTAACTGGATATGATATTGATTGCTTCAGTGTGGCAGCTTTTCCAGGGCTTTCCTGGTTTGATTTTCATATTCAGACAGGAAAACTGCAGAATTCCTGTTGTCGTCACTTTCACAATCAAAGTGCAACAAAATACACGGACAATAGTATAGGAAAGTCCTAGAAATCAACTGCTATTTAGCGAGATATAAATAAATACTCTTTTCATATAATTAATAAATATATATCTTTAAAACGTGTGTATACTAAACTTGTTAAATCAACCGCGACGTAATTCATTTTTAAATATTCACAGCACTTTCCAAATACTTGTTATAATTCTCATGTGTAATTTCCCAACGTGTTATAATCTCTTTTTGTTACAATTATAATTGCTATTGTAATACACCTTCAGAGATAACTTCTATAGAATATAAGTATATATTCTGTAAATTTTGAGGTACAATTAACTTTGATTTCTTGTATAGTGTAATAGTGCGTGACAATCACAATTAGGCAGTTATAAATAACAATTACATTATACTTCTCATTAAAGCCAATCATATTTTTTCCTTTTCAAATAACAAGTGGTCAATTCGCAACAAAATTTGTACTGCTGACGATGTAAAATGTAAAATGATTATCAGGTAAAGCAAATTCTTTGGCATGCTAGACTATTATCGTAATTATATATATGACTGGTTGATGAAGACCCGGTGAGGATAAAACAATATCACATCAAATCAATTTTCATTCTTTTAAATATTTTTACACGCGCGTTAAAATATCTCCCACTACGGCGTGCCAAATTCTTTACAGTGGAAATATTACAACTCATGTATTTGCTAATTATTAATCTCCGTTATTTGATTATTAACGAAACAGGTGACTTGATCATCACCCTCAGACCAGTTTCTCCGAGTGCACTTATAAATTTCTGTTGCGTCTGGTAAGGGGCGTGAAAGTAAAATGAGTAAACTATTCAAATAGAGCAGAGAGAGAGCATCAAGGTGGGCATAATATAATATGCGTCGAGTAGCGTAAAATTATTACTTTTGTGTCTTCTTTTTGGTTGACTGAGTCATTGAGATGTATAATTAATACCTATTTTGAGCTGAGAATAAAAAAATTAAATCAATGTGGTATTGTCAGTGCTTTTGTATATCGAATCGTGCTTAGTTAGTTAACACTATTAAGGTTTTAAATTGAAAATCTAAAATTTTTACCTTGATTTAAAATTTTTTAAGATTTAAAATGCGTTTTTACAAAGATGAATTCAAAATAAGTCTTAATATTTAAAAATATTTAAGATTTTAGCAAATAAATTTAATTTATAAGAGCTGTTAATATTTATGGTCTCGCGTGATTTCCGAAGGCCCGTCATCCGAAAATATTTTTTGTATGTGTCAATTAGTTGTCATTCTTGGCATCTACACCAAAAACCTTTATCAAACGTTAAAGAGCCAGGCCTAAATTCTCTTGCTGAAGTAAGCGAAATAAGGTAGTTTGAGCAATTTTGATCAGACCGAAATTGATAATAGATAAATGAGCTTTTTTCCGCAAAAAATTATTAAACTTCAATTAACCTGCGGTTACTTTTTTAAAGGTTTTTGTAATTTCCTATTAATTTAAAATTTATTTGGTCTGTTCACGTTTGATTATTAGGAGAGGAAACTTTTCAGGCCGATTTATATTGCCAAGAATGACAAAATCGTTTGATATTTAAAAATACGTACACTGTGTCCGACTTATTCCTGTTTTAAAAATTACTAAATAAAAACTTGAGATTTTCAATTAAACCCTCGCGAAAGCAAAAACAAAAAAACGAGTTGTTCACACATAAATTATTGCAATGAAACCATGAGAATATCACAGAGAGCGAATAAAACCAACTAATTGCGAGTCGTGAAGGAAGCTACCCTGCTACGTGGTTCACTGTTGCGGAAATTGGCGCTAATCTGGACGAGCGCGTCCAGGTCCGAGTTGCGCCTCCGAAAAAGGTTGCACGAGGCCCAGCAGAGGGTGTCGCGGAACGCCTCCCGGAAATCTTTGTTGAAGTGAGCGTAGATGACTGGGTTGAGGGCCGAGTTGAGGTAGCCGATCCAGAAGACGATCGCAACGGCCACGTCGGGCACCTGCGGACAGAAGTCGCCGCACAGGTTGGTGATGTCGTACCACAGGAAGAAGGGCAGCCAGCACAGGATGAAAGTGCCCATGATGAAGCCCAGCGTCTTGGCCGCCTTGTGCTCGCGCTTCATCTTGCGCTCCTTGTGCGACAACACCGGCTGCTGCGGGTGCTGGTGGTGGTGGTGGTGGGGGTGCTCGTGGTTGGCGTCGTGGAAGTTGAGGGCGGTGCACGAGCCGCTGCCGGCAATGCTCGGCGAGGCCGACACGTCCTCGATGTTGTGCAAGTGCTGCATGTTGAAGTCGTTGCCGAGCCGGTTGTGCAGCATCCGCTCTTGGCGGTTCGCCTCGAGGAAAATTTTGTGATATGTGAAGACCATGATGGACCCGGGAATCCAGAAGGAGACGAGCGAGGAGAAAATGGCAAAGCTCATGTTGACGATGAAGTCGCACTCGTTGGGGTGCAGCTGGCGGTAGGTGAGGTTGTCGGCCGTCGTGTACCAGCCCAGGAAGATGGGCACGAACGAGATGAAAATCGGGCACAGCCACGTGATGCCGAGGAACACGCCGACGGTGCGTTCGGTGATGTAGATGGGGTACTGCAGCGGCAGCACGATGGCAAAGTACCGGTCCACCGAGATGAAGCACAAGTGCAAAATGGATACAGTCGAGAAGAAGACGTCGAAAGAGTTCCAGACGTCGCACATGATGGGTCCGAACATCCACATGTCGGTCAGTTGGACGCTAAAGTTAAAAGTCATGGCCAAAATGGCGACCAGCATGTCCGCAAAAGCGAGAGAGACGACAAAGTAGTTGGTGATGACCAGCAGTTTTCGGTGCCGCATCACACTGACGATGACGAGCAGGTTGCCCCCGATGGAGGTGAAGATGATGGTGCCCATGACCACGATTTTGAAGCACAACACGGCCAGCACGACCGGGTCCGAGTACGGGTCCGGACGCGCCGTTTGGTTCAGCTGCGCGTCTGGCTCCTGCAAAGACAGGTTGCTCGAATTGCTCTCAGGCTTTTGCAGCAGCCAGTGTGATGTTTGATCTTGTAGGGTGCTGTGGTCCCCAAATGCAGTCAGCGGCGAGGTCATGGTGACGAGGAATAGCAGCAGGAAGCTGGCCAGTTTCCCTTTGTGACTAGACATTCTGTAAACAGGACGGAAAAGAGAGCAATCAGTAAATTTGAAAATATATAAAATATTGAAGAAAATAAATTTTAAGGTGATTCTTCTACGGGGTTTTGGCCAAAACTAGAAATGCTACAATGGATTCCAAATGATTCAGATTATAAGATTTGAACTTTTGTGTGTTAATGTTTCAAGTATAAAAATGATTTATTTTCGCCCCATCGCTTCTTTACAGGGGGTCAAAGTAATGTCCGAAGGTCAAAAACGGGTAAAAATCCACGCTTTTCTACCTTCTCATACTAGTAACTTTTCATTTTGCAAAGTAAACTTTAATTTTCTAGATAGCTTTCGACTCGCCAGAAGATGCAGTATCCAAAAAAAGCAAAAAAAGTATATCTCTTCTGTCATTTTATCATCCCCTGAGAAATCAAATTTTTTTAATTTTAATGGCCCATTTATAAATGCTATTTCTCTGAGGGTGATAAAATGACAGAAGAGTTATAATTTTTTTGCTTTTTTTTGATACTTTAACTTCTTGCGAATCGAAAGCTATCTAGAAAATTATAGTTTACTTTGCAAAATGGAAAGTTACGAGTATGAGAAGGTAGAAAAGCGTGGATTTTTACCCGTTTTTGACCTTCGGACATTACTTTGACCCCCTGTAAAGAAGCGATGGGGCGAAAATAAATCATTTTTATACTTGAAACATTGACACACAATAGTTCAAATCTTATAATCTGAATCATTTGGAATCCATTGCAGCATTTCTAGTTTTGGCCAAAACCCCGTAGAAGAATCACCTTAACAAAACAAATAATTGTTTTAGTTATTCAATTTCATTATTACTTACTTTATTCCTTTATTCTGGTTTCAAGAAATTATTATAAATCACAGTAAAATAAAAATTATTACATTTAGTGAAAATCTCAAAATCTTTAAGAAAAAAATTAGATTGCATCAAAAATAATTTGTAACTATAAAAAAACCATGAAAATCTATATTTTTAATTGAAGTCTGAAATTGAACTAAAGCTTGTGACCAAGGCCAGCAGCAGTGTTTGTGACTAGAGATGATAAAAAATGAACACCTTACTTCTCCAACAAGGAAAGTCTAGTGTTGATTTCATCACAAATCAATAAAATGAAACGGTTCATCATTTTTCTTTATATTATATTTATATCTCTGCTCTTTATGTTTCAAGGGCATTTACCTCTTTGTTCGATTGCGGTCAGGTGGTGCACAAGCCCATAGTAATCAGGGGAGGTAATCAACATTCAATAACGAACGTTTGGAAGCCGAGCGTCGGGTAGAAAGATCCGTCCAAAAATCAGACTGACGATTCTCGTCCTGCACGAAATGATTGCGGCGATGAGCGTTTTTGAATAAAATTTTAATAACATTTAATGTATAAAGAGATCAATACTCACGAGTTTTATTCTTGAAATGCTTCTCCACAAATTGGCACCTGCAGTCTGCGCTACACTTGTGAGTTCAGCAATGCTTTTCCCAGTCATAGTTTATAACTTGCTTACTTTATGTGTGTCGAAGCCAATCAAAGTTCAAACGAGGTCTCTGCGAACATGAATTACAATATATAAAAAATAGGGTGAGTTTATGCAAGAAAAAAAGCTAAGGACGGCAAAGGTCACCATCGTTTAGAAGGGAAGAGGAGAGCCGGTCATGTCAGAAGTCGATCACAAAATTCGCAACGCTTCCGGCTCGCGTTTTCTTAAACTTTGACCTTTGCGGTTGAAAAAAGGCGGTTTTTTAGACAAAGTGAGTTAACCACGTACGAGTGAGAGCCACTACCAAACTCGTGAGGGCGCGATAGTTGCACTGCCGAGAGCGACGGGGGAATATTTTTAGTCCAAGCGCAAATGAATGGAGAGCTCGAAATATACAGATCGGCGGCGCGCACCACACAGGAAAGGAGCTCTCGGCCTGCACGGGTTCTTTTCGCGTTGTTAATTGGTAATTACCTCAAGGGAAGAAGGCCATGAATAGAAATAAAACCCTGTGAAACGCGAAGATGCTTGGCGGAGGCAACCCCTGGTCCCAGGGCTCATTACACGAGCTACGAGCTCGCTCAAAAGTTATTAAATATACCTAAAAGAGGGCGCTGATGGCAACCTGTGAATGAAACGCACCAGCATCAGCCAGAACATCGACTTTTCCGCACGGTGCCAACTTTGGTTCCACCAGCAGGGACGCAAGTGCAGAACCCCTTTATTGATTGGCGAGCCTCAATTCACGTCCCCATCTCTCTCGCAGATACAAATTTTCCCAGCTGTTTTCCATCACCAAAGCTGCCAACTAAATTTAGTAAACTCTACCACCTGATTTGTTGGAAAAATTGAGTTAGTTTAAAAATTTTACCTCAAAATACTTTTATTTTCCAAATTATACCTAAGCTTAAAATAAAAAATCTGAAAAAATGGTGATTGTTGCAGAACATCTAAATCCGGTGTGAGTTTTGGTGACTCTTTCTTACCATGTTGGTCACACTGCTTGGTGAAAAATAAAAACACGGGATGTCGGGATGACAAGCGTAGTTGGTCTAGAAAAATACGCATTTTCTTCTCGAAAATCAACGGTGGCCAATGTTTTAGACCCCGTTTTAAGATTTGAGTCGAGTTGTTAATTTCTTTCCGGCATATTTTTATACACCGTGGAATCGACTCGATCTATATGAACCCAGCAAACAGGGGCTGTGGTGGAGGCGACGGCGAGGACCCCAGGTAAAGATGATTTCAAGATACTTTTGTGCGCACCAAATTTAAGATAATAAACATTAGTGCTAAAAGTGTGCACATCTTCTGGGAAATCCCTGCGTTTCAAAGCCGGCTTAGTATTATACAAGAATTTTCTTTTCCCACAGTTCCAAATCTTCGTCTGCATCTGTGAAACCTCTGACGATCAAACCCTCTACTCATCAAGATCAATCGTTGTCCCCTGAATCGGAAAGCATGAAGAGAGCAGCTGCCAAAAAGCTCATCGAGCGATATTTTTACCAAGTCACAGATGGCTGCGGCGACCCTGAATGTGATAATTCCAACTGCGTTTCTAGTGGAAAGGTGCGAGTTATAAAGTTGAATGAAAGTTTCACTGTTTTGAAAAACTGCTTTCTTGTTCAGATGAAAAACATGAAGCCCAATGAAGCGGCAGCTATGGCCATCCAGTTGTTCTCACAAGAAGCGCGCCTTTGCGAGCCGCAACGCAAAATTGCCCGTACACAAGACATATCTGCTAAAACTCCGACTACTCCGGAGGGTAAAATTAAAAATTAAACACGCATTAATTATATTTACCAGACTATTTTTAAAAGCAATTTCAAATCTACTCTACTTTTCCAAAGTTAAATTTCAATCTTATTTTAGATAATATTTTTATTGAATAATTTGGTTTTAATCTTTCCAATTATGTAATCTCAATTTTATTATTTCCAGAAAAATCTGTCCCCTATCTTAATGAAGAGAAGCTGCTGGAAATTCTGGAGAGCTGCAAACGGGAAGACTCATACTCGAAGCTGATCAGGACAATCGGCGCCGTCTTTTCGAACATGGAGTCTCTTCTGATCAGCTTTGTCAAGAAACCCAACTCCCCTCTAGAGGCCATGCTGAGCAAAGCGCCGAGCAATTTGCGAAACCTCAAGAAGGAGGACATCAGAACGCTGCAGGGCGACCTGGACAAGGACGAGGACAGTCAGGAGGAGGCGGAGAAAGAGGGCGAGTGCTCGAGTCAGTGCCAAACCTCTGGCCCGGACGAAATCACCCTGGACTTAGAAAGTCTTCGTCGGGCCTACTCGGCGCTCTTCTCGGTCGACAGCAAAGTGTTCGAAAGTGCCCTTATCAACGCCCTCATCACCCTCACAGGGATGGTCGAGCTTGACCTGAAAATGTTCCACAACTTCAAGGACGAGCCGAACGTAGTGAATATTTTTCTAATCATGCTAGAACTGCCGTGCTTGTCCTCCTACGAGTACATGGAGCGCACCCTGCCCGGGATCTGCCGGGCGGCGTCCCACTTGCCACTGGCCATGCAGGCCAAACTGGTCCGGGTGCTGGCCAAGCACTGCTCCCAAAAGCTGAAGGGTCTGCTCGACTCTCTGCAGCAGATCATCACCCTGAAGGTGATCACCAGCCAGTTCTCCTTGGAGTACACGGTGTACGACGAGGAGACGGTCACTTCGGCCACCAGGTTGATCAAAATAATCTACTACGCTTCGATTCTGGCCGGGGAAATGGACTCGCCAGAGCTGAGGATCGAAGATGAAAAGACTCCCGAGGAAGTGGAGGACGACCACTTTGGTGAGCCGGTCAGCGGCCTGGACTCGAGAGAGCCGGACGTGACGCCGCCTGACCCTTTTGCGGAAGAGTTGCAGATCAATTTTCTGGACAGCCGGAAACCGCTGATCTCCTTCTCCGAGTTTTACAACGAACCCCTCAGTGATGTCATCGAGATGGACAAGGACTACACACACTTCAAGAACCGAGACTCGTCCAACAGGTTCAGTTTTCTGAACCACCCCTTCATCCTGACCCCGTTCACGAGGTCACTAGGTCTCTATTACGACAACAGGGTGCGGATGTTCAGCGAAAGAAGGGTCAGCCTTCTGCAGTCGGTCGTCGGCAACCCCACCAGTCCCTACCTCAGGTTGCGGGTCAAAAGAGACAGGATCATTGAAGACGCTTTAGTAGAGGTACTGGTTTCATAAAAATACAAATTTTTATTAAGAAAATTTTTTAGACTAATTAAAAAAGGCAGCAAAATTTATTTTTATTGTCAGTCATTATTCAAATAAAAAAAATTTATATTTTTGTCTTTCAGCTTGAAGTAGTAGCCATGGCAAACCCAACTTACTTGAAGAAGCAATTAGTGGTTGAATTTGAGGGCGAGCAGGGTATTGACGAAGGTGGCGTGTCCAAGGAATTCTTCCAGCTCGTAGTTGAGGAAATTTTCAACCCCGACTATGGTATATTTTTACTGTACAAAATGCAGCTCTGTATTTATTGTTTTTTTTCCTTTCTATTTGTAGGAATGTTCACGCATCAAAAAGAAACAGAGACTGTTTGGTTCAATCCCACCTCTTTCGAGAGTGATGCTCAGTTTACCCTGATCGGCATTGTTTTGGGACTGGCCATTTACAACAATGTGATCCTCGATGTGCACTTCCCTATGGTTGTTTACTGCAAGTTGATGGGCAAAAAGGGCTGCTTCCACGACCTCAAAGATTGGAACCCGGTTAGTTCTTTCAATACTCTTTTTGATGTAATTTTTAAAACATATTTTTCCTAGACTCTGTATGCTGGTCTCAAAGAGTTGCTGGAGTACGAAGGAGACGACATGGAAGACACTTTCATGCAGACCTTCAGAATTTGTTACCAGGATATTTTTGGAAACACTTTCAACCAGGATCTCAAGGAAAATGGAGATCAAATTTTTGTCAACAAGAATAACAGACAGGTAAAGAAAATAATTCTGATAAAAAAATGCAAAATTTTCATTTATTTCAATTTTTTAGGAATTTATCGACCTTTATGCAGACTTTCTACTCAATAAGTCAATTGCTAAGCAATTCAGAGCGTTCAGAAAAGGTTTCAGAATGGTCACAGATGAATCTCCCTTGCACATTTTATTCAGGCCTGAGGAAGTTGAGCAACTAGTCTGTGGCAGCAGGGTAGAAACTTTGTTGATATGGACTTGGGAAATTTATTAATGCCTTTGCATATTTTAGAACTTTGACTTCAATGCTCTGGAAGCTGCCACCGAATATGACGGGTATGCTGCGGACTCGCCCATAATTCGCCACTTCTGGGGTGTCGTCCACGAGTTGCCAATCGAAAGTAAAAGAAGACTTCTGCAGTTTGCCACTGGCAGTGACAGAGTACCAGTGGGAGGAATGAGCAAACTTAAATTAATCATAGCTCGACAAGGTCCAGACTCTGACAGGTAAAAAAAGTTGTTTTTATTTCTCTCATGAATATTTTGTTAGAAATATTATTTTATTTGTTTTAAAATCAACTTGTATAAAATCCAATATTTCCGAAACTAAATTTTATACTTAAATTATTGCAGACTACCCACAGCCCACACCTGTTTCAATGTTTTGTTGCTGCCGGAATATGATTCAAGAGAAAAGCTGCACGATCGGCTGCTGAAGGCCATCAACTACTCGAAGGGTTTCGGAATGCTGTAGTCATACCTGTAAGTTGTGTACTTTGTTGATATTTGTGACTGTTAGAGCCAGCAACCACCAAGGCTGTCCAAATCAAAGTTTAGTTTATTTGTGATTTGTATGCTGGACGAATTTAGACGTGTCTCGGTTGTAAATAAATTTTATGTATCTAGAGATTTTAATTCGTGTCAAACCAAAAATTGTTTGTATCTGCATGGAAAAACCATCAACGGCCTTGCAAAAACTCAATGCTCACCTCTCCCACAATAACTGCGAACCAACCAAAAGTTCCCACTCGGTTCCACCAAAATTCTAAATCTAGGTTTATGAAATAAATTGATAGAGTGCAGGCCCAGTTTCTGTTAATAAATTTGCAATACCTGAATTGCGAATTTCATTTCAATTGCAAAAATACCCAATATTATTACTACAAGTAGTGCAGTATTTTTGACAATAACATTAAAAATTGAAATTTGAATTCTAAAAGTAAGGAATTTTTTGGCATGCTATTTCAGGATTCTCAGGCATTTATAAAAACTGAATTAAGCAGGCCCAAACGCTAATAAAGGGGAGATGGTAGATAATAATTAATAATTGAAATCAAAGATAATTTCATGAAATATATAATTGAGTGAATAACGCTTATTTTTTGACTTGGTCCAATTTTGGTTAGAGCTTTATCTCCTAAATCAATGCACTTTTCTGAACGGCAATTCAATAATTTTTTTAAATTTTAAGCATAATTTTATGTTATGTAAATTATTTGTGCTCGCAATTTTTATAAGTTTTATGTTATTATTTCATTGACCACAATATGCATTCCAAAACAATCGGCAGGTTTCATTGGTATAATCAAAGCAAGTACAACAATTTTGCTTAAATTTTAATGTTCTATATATAATGGCGAAATTTTATTTGCTTCTATTGTTGTAATAACTTGGCTCGACTGTTCTTATAAAGAGTTCTTAACTTGCTTATCCTGTACAAAAATGATTTAACTTTCATTAATCCATCATTTTATTTCTTAATAATCACATTTTTCAAAGACGCCCACTGTTTTTTTTTCTTTGAAAAAGAATAATTCTAAAATTCTCGGCATTTTATGCGTCTTTTGATCACTTTGTTAGCAAGAGTTATTCAATGATTGCGATAATTGCTAGTTTTATTCACTTTAATGCCAGATAATTATAAATGGAATGGAACGGTTGATCATTTCTTTGATCGGCTTAAAAAGAATTCCAGGTGCCGTTCATAAGCATTCATTAGATGGCCAGAAAAACGATCCTTGAGATTATAAATGCTGAGAAAAAGTCACATATTTATCTCGGATGTCACATCTGCGCGCGTTTTACCGATAGAGCCCGACCTTGCGCCTCTGATGGGACATGAAAATATTTTAATTCGGTGCGCCGCTCGCTTCCTCTTGTCCCCAATGAAGGAGGCGCTCCTCCGTGTCTTTTAATCAGATGCATTCCTGCTCGTACGGTCGCTGACGAGGGTCAGGGCACAGGGCCAGAAAGTCTGACGACTCACTCCGCGCCACGATGGCTCCTCCGGTGGTTCTGCTCAAACTCAAGGAGCTGGCCGAGGACGCGCCCAGCGGCGGCCGCGACACCCCCGGCGTCCAGCCGCCCCCGCCGTCCGTGCCGCCGCCGGTGCCTCCGCTCCCCAAGCACGGCTTGGTCAAGAACAAGAGCAGCCTCTGGGCCGAGCCGGACAAGAAAAAACCCGAGATGAGGGAAATCAAACGGCCGACGGAAAAGCAGCTCGCCAAGAAGGAAAGCGCCACGAAATGGGAAGGTAAGGAATGGTTTAAAAAGTTACCCGTTGCATGAAAATGAAAAATAAAAATAATGAATTTCGGTGAAATATATTTAAACAAAAAGGAAAATTTTAAAATTGGCAATTAAATAAACGTATTCTTTTATAAAATGGTTGCAAAAAACTCTTAAAAGCAAACTTATAATGAGCAAAATAATAATGACAAATTTATGATCCAGAAATATTAGTACGACTTATTTATTCATAATAATTTTATTTATTTTTAATTTCTCTTGATAATTTTATTATTTTCTTTTTAAAGTGAAATTTGTTTTTTTTTATAACAAAATATTATTTTTATGGCCAGAAAAAAAATGTGTTCTGCCCAAAAAAAAATACTGTTTTCACCATCACGTCCAGTAACAATTTGAAGGTTTAAATACTTTGTTAGACGCAATAATTGAAAAGTCCATTATAAAATCGCTGGCCAAAATCTTTTTTTTCTTTTGTCAATTGCGCATGTTGTAGGTTAATATTTAAAAGAATATTTAAAATTTATTTAATAGGAATGCTAATGAAGTTGAAAATAAAAGTTTTAAATTATGCAGGCAAAATATTAAAATTTTTACTATCAATTCATTAGTATTGTTCTATCATTATTTTCTTGAGGTTATATTTTAATCAATAATTGGAAAATAAAATTATACCTTATATCTTCAAGATTTGATTAGAAACATCATTTTTAATGAAAGTTTTTTTAACTCTTCACTGTTAATAATTTAACTTGATAATTTAGAGAACACAACCTTAAACTTTTTATTGAACTTGCATTAAAATACTTTGATTGCAGTAAAAATTGAGCTTCGATCTCTTTTCAAAATAGCCCTTTATGATTTGATCTCTTTCATCTTTCTCTTCGTCTTCTAGGGCATTTTCGTTGCTTCATTTTTTACACCGTTGTTGGACTTTAAAAAACTCTTTTAGCAATTTGATGGGTTGGACTGAATCTCTCGGCTCTCTCGATAGAGATCAATTGATGGTTTCGAGAGTGTGGAGAGCTGAGCACAATAATAGCAGCCAATATTTATAACCGCGAGGCAATTCGATCCATCGCGGAATGAGAAAAAGAGAAGAGAAAAACAAACAAAACAGATTGGCCATTGTGCATTGAGCGGAACAATTACTCGGACACACCTGCCCGAGAACAAACGAAACGTTATTAAAAATTGAAATAGTAAAAAAAACTGCACTCTGGTGAAAGTGTTGCAATATTTATAAATAAATTACAAAAATAAATAATTCGCTCCGGACTAAATTAATTTATGGGAAAAGAAAGTGTGTAAAACAAAGTCGTGATCCGTAACGTTTGCCGGTTTAATTATAAAAGGCGGGCCCGTCTCGTAGCTGTAAAGGAATGAAGCGTGCGGAATAACAAATCAAGTAAGGAGAGAAATTATTGCTCTCTTTTAATGTCAAGTTCAAGTGCGTAGGCCTCACGCACGAGAGTGAAATAAAACGGCGTTAATATGGGTGCTTCTCTTTTAGTGCCGAAACTTAAGTGCACGCGAGCTCTGAATTTTAAAACATCAACAAGTAATGTCGCAAGACTAATCAATAGGGCAAAATGTCGGTCAGCATGACAAGATACAGTTACGGCCACACTGTATTGATTGCGATTTCGCAAACACCCATATTACACACATGCCCGGTCACTAACGGCGGTGACCCTTCTCGGGAATTTGTGAGAAAATTGAGCCGAAAACTTGTTGGATGCATTCAAGTAGCGGTGCTCAATGATCCGACGACCTTTAATTTTCTTAAAAGGCAGTCGTCCTCTGGCTATATAACAAATTTAAATCTTCATCCTGAAACATTTGCGTCATTTTTAACCAAATTTGTTAATGTTGTTGTTTGTTTGTCTAAATTATTACAAAAAATTTACCAGAGGAAAAAACTTAGTTGTTGGCAGTTGTTAGGATGGAAAGATTGAATTGTTGGGCAAAAAGGCACCTCCACTAAAACTTCTGAGATTAAAAAGTTAAAAAGATTGATTTAGAATAATTTTTCCAGAGATTTTCAGCCTTTTGAAAAGATATACTGTTTTGCAGAAAAAAAACATTTCTTGGCTTTTTATGACCGATTTTTCTTTGTTAACGTTATGGTAAAATAATTTGTATTAAATATTCTTAAAAAAACTGTTGTGTATAATACAAAAATTAATATAAATTTAATACATTTTGGACAGTTTTTTTAATGTTTTGAACTACTTTAAAATATTTTATCTAATAATTATTTTTATACTCTAATATTTTTTATAATTTCTACTTGCAATTGTTGCTGACAAATTATTATCTATTAATGTCATAGTTTACAATAAATAAACCTTTTGGCAGTTTTCTACAAAAAACAGTCGTTTAAATTGAAAGGGTACATCGCCATTTTTTTAATCAAGAGATGAGCCCATGAAATCGGATTTAGCACGCCAACCATCAAATTTAAACCAAGGACAGAAAGTGGCGCTAATTGCTGCATTAGCCAAGATCAAAAGGACAAACCACGTTGATCCTTTCTCGAAAACTGCAGGCAAAATTTGTACCAAACCGTTTCCCAACTCTTGATAAGCGCACCGATCGAAACTATTGTTGCGAGTGAAAAGCAAAGTGATTAGGTGCAAGGATAAGTCACGGCCCCTGCCGCTCGTGAGAGGCCAAAGGTGATGCTGATGCACCTTGCAACACCACTTGGGCCGGAGAAACTGCTCATCCCGAGTTTTCATGACGCTTTGTTTGCGATTTTTACGAATTTCAGGCTGGGAACTTGTTTGTTTGTTAGGATTGATCGTTACGAAATATTAATTTTATGTGAAAGAATGAAACTTGATATATTCGAACGACGTCACAGTTAACAGTATGAATGTGGTAGGCGGAGAATGCAAGCTGAACGCTTTGATAGCTTTTTATGCACTGAATGTTTGAGTGGGCACAGAATAGCAGACGGCTTTTGATTTGAATGTGAGAATCACGCACAAAATTTACTCTGATTGAAAAACATGCATAATATATTGAATAATTTTAACTAATTATCATAAAATAGAAATATTAATTTTATAATAGAATTTTAAAAAAAGGCACTCGCAGAAAAATAATTTGTGTGTGGAATATTCACTGCGCGTGTTGATAATGATTTCTTCAAAATAAATTAAAAACAGTAATCCTTGCTGTAAAGACATTCTCGTCCAGGCTAATTCTTAGTAATTGGCCCCTGGAACCAAATCACCGGTCGCTGGAATTTGTTCTAAACATTGTTTTTAAAAGATTTATTTCATAGAATAGAAGCTAAATTTCTGCAAAAAATGGGAAAAAGTCATAAGTAGTCCAAAAATTGGAAAGAATTAAAAATGTGTTTTTTTTTTGTGTTACATTTTTTGAATCTGAACAACGCAAATCGCAAATATTTGTTTTTCAGAAATAATTTTGTTTGTTTTCTTTTAATTCAACCGCGGCGTGTATCGGTGGCTGCGTTTTTTACATGTTCTCATGTTCTTTTATTATTTCGCAGTCTGTGCATAAAAACTTTCCTTCAAACCACACGTTGCATGTCTGTCGGTGTTTTTTGTCGCGTTCTCATCAAAATGTAATTTCGGCGTACGTGAAACTATCTCGAGCAGATAGATAGAAAAGAGCGATAAATTGATGGTGGAAGGCTATCGTGTGTGTGTTACACCTTTTTGCAGGCACAGTTACAGCTTCGCGGTGGGGCGCATTTCCTAGAAGAAAAAAACACTTCAGCATAAACTTTGAAGATTAATTAAGAATAATGTATGATAAATTAAATTATTTTACTTTTACATCTCAATTAAAATAGATAAATTTATGTAGATCTGCTGATCATTTGTTTGATCCTTCTAATGAAAGTAAAGGATTAACGTTTAACGTAGAGTACTTTTTTACAAACAAAATATCCACGAGACTCAACATAATAGCTTCAGAAAACTATGTGAAGTAACGTTTTTCCATATATAAATTTTTATGGGAAGATTGTAAATTTGATCAAAGTAAATTTAATCATTTTATTCCTCAGCAGCAAGTAAAAAATTGTAATTTTATAAAATATTTTAATGTAAATTCAATTGTTCACGGAGAAGAATAAAATTACGCCTTTATAATACTAAGTAAAAAAAAATGCAAGCTTTTTCAAATTAATGAATTGCTTATGGTTTTTTTAAATTTTAATATCATGAAAAATAAGCAAGTTTTGTGTCACTCGTGTTAAAAATTTGAGACCATTTATTTCTGGAATCCTAAACACGAAAAAAAAAATGTTTTACATGTATGCTAATTTACTTGGAAGAGGAATAAATTTATATTAATTGGCGAAGCAGAAAGATGTTGCCACCTTGAAATCGCAAGCAAACCTAGAAAACTAGTTCCAATTTTTCTTCTTCTCCTTTCTACACAAATCGGTGACTGATGATGTCACAACATTTAAAATCAACTCTTTAACATCCGAATGAGAAACGGGTTTTAGCCAAGAAGCAACAAGTCAATCGAGCCGAAAAATTTTAACGACGGTAAATTAATAATTGGCGCGAGTCTCAAAACTGGACCAAACGTGTGAACTTGACGAATTCGTAGCTAAAATAGACCACATGTAGCGATTAAAAACACAAATGTGGAAGCAAGATTTTCTGATGAAGTTTGTTTAAATGACTGCAGGCTTTTTTACGACATTGCAGAGATATCTGAAAATGAGAATTTTATTTAATTTTATCTAACCAATTTTACAAATCTGCACTATTGAAAAAAAAACACGATTCTTATAAAAATAAAACTGAATTGAACCAATTCAGTGCTCTAAAAACTGGATCGAACGTGTTGGTTGATGTTACGAATCGCTAAAATATTAATATTTTTAATTATAGGTTTGAGGAAAATATGATATCTTTTGAATTTATGTGTTTATGAAACATACTAAAATTTACATTTAAAGCCCTACAGCACCAATTTTTTGCATTTGATATAGAACATAAAATGACCTAA